TCTCCAATGCTAACACCAGCCTATTCATGCTAGTCTCTAGCATCTCCAATGCTAATACCAGCTTATCCATGCTAGTCACTAGTGTCTCCAATGCTAACACCAGCCTATTCATGCTAGTCACTAGCGTCTCCAATGCTAACACCAGCCTATTCATGCTAGTCACTAGCGTCTCCAATGCTAACACCAGCCTATTCATGCTAGTCACTAGCGTCTCCAATGCTAACACCAGCCTATTCATGCTAGTTGCTAGCTTCTCCAATGCTAACACCAACCTATTCATGCTAGTTGCTAGCTTCTCCAATGCTAACACCAACCTATTCATGCTAGTCACTAGCGTCTCCAATGCTAATACCAACTTATCCATGCTAGTTGCTAGCTTCTCCAATGCTAACACCAACCTATTCATGCTAGTCACTAGCGTCTCCAATGCTAATACCAGCTTATCCATGCTAGTCGCTAACCTCTCCAATGCTAACACCAGCCTATTCATGCTAGTCACTGTGAGACGAAAATACTGAACCGAATCATGAACTTTCTGTATCGTTGCAACCCTACACTCATATATTTATGTAGAACTTAAAAAGAGTAAAAAATGTGTGTTTGGTAGATTATTTTTTTGTTCTGACTGCTTCTTGGCAATAAATCTTATATTGTTGGAAAGCCTGTTAAATTCTCTTAAATGGTGACACATTTGTAAGGAACATGCATTTGTTGGATGAGCAGTAGAGCTGAGTTTGTGGGTTTCACAGATGAAAAGTTTATCAAATCTTTTCTGACAAACAGCTTCTTGTTTTAAGCTTCTGGTCCCCCAGGTGCTGCCAATTATAAGATTTATTATCAAGAAGCATCGTTACAACAAAGGATTAAGAAAGCACAAATTTCCTCACTTTTTGTGCTAAAATTAAATATTTTTTCTCTTTCTGTAGATCCTGAGGTCCCGACAGCCCCAAAGATGAGAAACGGTGTCAAGTGGAAACTCCTTACTCTGAAATAAATATTAGTTTGTTTTAATTTTATTGTTACTGTACAGTTACAGTCAGCTGTTTAAAATAAAGACTCATTTACTTACTGAATCTTTTTTATTTCTTAAACAGAAACACACAAACTACAGTCAGAAATGTGGCGTTGAACTACAAACCGCCTCTGCTCCACAGCAGAGAATCAAACCTCTTCTGTCTCTGATAAATAACAGCATCCAAAACAAACAAACAAAAAAAATCCTGACATGAATCCAGTGACTGTTTCTCTCTGAACCTGTAAAATCCTTCATCATACCCTCCTGGCCCGTTTGGCGGCGGCYGCGGCGCGCCTCTGGTTGATGGCCTTGGTGGTGACGCGGAGCTTGCGCAGGCGCAGCTGACGCAGCCGGAGCTGCAGGTCCTTCGGCTCTTTGGTCCTCTGCTTGTGGGGCTTGGCGAGGCTGAAGTCGCAGATGGTGGGGTAGTGGTCGTACATGACGCGGCAGGTGCGCGAGGACGGGAGGTAGCCCTCCGCGCTCACAGTCACGTGGTATTCACCGGGGTTCAGCAGCCGCCAGTAGTCCCCATCAGCCACTAAGACAACAGGAAGTAAACCATTCGTTGTTATTATATGTTCGTATGAGCTCTACAAAATAAAAGAAACTGCACCTGATCTAATGTGATGATCGATGTCTTCGACTTTGATGATGGCATCTGTTATTCCGGCTCCCGTGTCTTTGTCTCGAACCACACCTTTAATGCCTCGATGGACCTGCAGGAAGTCATGGAGAGCACAGATTTAACATTTGTATGGAGGACCGAAAGTGCCATAATTAGAAATAAAATCAGAAATATATGAATGGACCAATAAAAGAACTTTGCCTCATGTTTTATCATTTAATTTACCTTAATATTTATTTTTTCAGCTTAGTTTCAATAAATTATATATTTTAAC